TGAGCCAAACGGGGTTGCCGAACGCAAACACCGTCACATCATCGAAACTACTCGGACATTGTTAGCTACCTCGTCCATGCTGTATACCTACTGGACTGAAGTTGTTCTAACCTCCGTCTATCTTATCAATCGCATGCCTTCGTCCACAACTCAAAATATTACTCCCTTTCACCTGTTGCACAATCGCCCACCCGACTATAGTCATCTCCGGGTTTTTGGCTGCGAATGTTTCCCACTCCTTCCCTCTCACACTCGTCACAAATTTCAAACCAAAGCCAAACCCTCTGTTTTTCTGGGCTACTCTGAGCAGCACAAGGGGTACAAGTGTCTTGATCAAGACACTAACCAGATAATTATTTCTCGGCATACCCAGTTTAACGAGCACTCTTTTCCTTTCTCTTCAACCACCGCATCCGAGCCCTCTCCTACAGAAAATAATCCATCTCAGTTTCTTCTTACTCCCACTTCCGTCACTACGTCTGTGCCTATCCGTCCCACCAATCCATTAGCTATACCTTCTGTCAACCAACCCAATAAAAGCAATATCACCCCTGCTACCTCTGTCTTACCTAGCCCCTCTGCATCCCCGATCAATTCCATTACGTTGACTGATGCTACTCCTCATCCTCACCATATGGTCACCAGGACCAAAACTGGGAAATTAAAACACATTAATCGTCTTAATCTTGCTCACATTTCTAATGTTACAGAAACTCCGCACACTCCATCAACCTATACCGAGGCAATCAAAAACCAGGACTGGCGTAATGCGATGGCTTCCGAGTTCTTTGCGCTACAGCGACAAGGAACCTGGAGCTTAATTTCTCCTCCAAGCAACGCCTTGGCTCTAGGCTGCAAATGGACATACAGGACGAAACTTCATGCGGACGGATCTATAGCCAAATACAAGGCTCGTCTCGTAGCCCTTGGGAATAATCAAGAATTTGGACTTGATTACACAGAAACTTTCAGCCCCGTGGCTAAGCTTCCCACAATTCGGATTCTTCTTGCAGTCGCTATTCACCATGAGTGGCCCGTGTAGCAGCTCGATGTCGCCAACGCCTTCTTACATGGTACTCTAAATGAAACGGTATTGATGTCTCAACCTAAAGGTTTTGAGGATGCCACTCATCCTGAGTATGTTTGCAAATTACACAAGGCTATATACGGTCTCAAGCAAGCACCTCGACAGTGGTACAATACTTTTAGTTCTTACCTCATTTCTCTCGGGTTTAAACATAACACTGCTGATCCCTCTTTATTAATCTATATATCAAACAAAACGAAAATTTTCTTTTAGCTTACGTGGATGATATACTCGTCACCGGAAATAACATGCAGGAAATATCTAATATAATCTGCCAGCTTAACAATAGATTTGATATCAAACAGTTTGGCAATGTACACGAGTTTCTTGGCATCAAAATAGACAAAACCGAGAGTAAGTATTTTCTCTCCCAAGAATTATATGCCAAATCCATTCTTCAGCAAGCACACATGGACAACTGTAATCCTCTCTCCAACCCTTCGTCCGCAAAGCTTCCAGCCGAGATCCCAAATGATCCAATTCTGTCGGATCCTACCATCTACCGGAAATTAACAGGATCCTTGCAGTACCTGACGTTAACCCGACCTGACATAGCTTTTAGCATAAATCAATTGTCTCAACATATGCATAATCCGCTGCCCCAACACATCTATCTCCTCAAACGTCTTCTTCGGTACATCAAAGGTACGTTAACTTACGGTATTCCCATTACAAAATCTGATTTTACTCTTACTTCATTTTCAGTTGCTAACTGGGCCGGTGACCCTGTCTCTCGAAAATCAACCTCTGAATTTTGTTCTTTCCTCGGCAAAACCTTAGTCTCATGGACGGTCAAAAAGCAGCACACGGTAGCACGATCGTCTACGGAGTCTGAATATAGATCGCTCGCTGCCCTCACATCGTACATTGTATGGTTGCGCCGTCTTCTCTCCGAATTTGGCATATCATTAGCTCAACCTACAGATTTATATTGCGACAATACCTCCGCAATCGCTCTAGCAAATAATCCGGTGTTTCATGCCGGTACTAAACACATTGAGATTGATCAAAAATTTGTTCGGGATCATATTCAGCAGACAACATCCGTCTCCTACCTATAAGCACAATCGACCAAATTGCCGACATCTTCACCAAACCGCTATCCACACCTCGCTTCCATACACTTAGAGACAATTTGACGGTCATTCAAGACCCATCAATTTGCGGGGGGATATTAGAATAATAAATATATATTGTATTTTAGTTTGCTTTACAGGTGGCTGATTCCTATTGGTTCAGCCATCATATTTTTTGTTACCTAGTCTATATATAGACTACTGTGCTGTACTCAAAACATACAAAATATAATTTCTATTTTCTGTTCTCGTTCTTCCTCTTCTTGCTTTTGTTTCTCCATTCTTTCGCTGCCTCTGTTTCTTCAATATGTTCTTATGTTCTTCCTAGTCAGATCAAAGATAAAAAGATGTGAGGTCTTCTTTTGTTCTTGTTCTCCCAGTCGAATCAAAAACACAACGGACGCGGGTCTTCAATACCTATTGTTTAAGCAAACAAGGAAAGAAAATATATTTATATATACATTTTAGTGTAGAAATAGTAATGACGATGGAAACAGATCGAGTGAGTCGGAACGGGCCGGTGATCGATCGGGTTGAACAGACAAAGAGGAAGGGAGAGGAAGCTTCGGCCTGGGTAGGTATGGTCAACGGAAGTTGCAAGCAGGTCGAATCAAGTAGCATCCAAGTTCGAATGCATGGGAGCAGGCGTGGCTAGACATGAACATGGATTGGTCGGGTCAAGCAGCATACACAACAAAAGTGTCAGGTCATTCGGCTTGGATGGGGATGGTCAATAGGATAGGACAAGCGGGGTATAGGTTCGGATGCACTGGAGCAGGAAAGGTTGGACATGTACACTGGCTAGTCGGGTCGAGTGGCGTACACGACAGCGGCGTCGAGTCATTCGACTCGAGTAGAGCGGGTCGACGGGCGGCACAATCAGGTTTGGTCGTGGGTGTATTAGGGTTTGATTGGAGACTGAGACGCATGCGTGAGACCGGTGACTACTTACTGATTGGGGTCGGTCGCACGAACAGAGAGCGAGTTAAGCTCTTCGTCAACTTCAGCTCCTGCGTGTGGCTGAGGGAGAAGAGAAGGAGCGAGGTCGCTAGGGTTCCTGCGTCTGGCTGAGGGAGACGAGAGGGAATGGGATCGCTGGGGTTCCTGTGCGTAGCTAGAGAAGTCGAGCAAGAGGGAGTTCAATTTTCTTTACTTCCATGTCAGGGAGTTACATGAGTGGGAGTGGTTATGAGATCATAGGTAGTGAGTTAGTCGTCAAAAGGTAAGCCAAAGAGAAGGCCAAAAATAAAGCGATCACAGAAGAGAGAGATGAAAACACAAGAGGAGAAATAGTCAATACAAGCGCGAGAGTTGGTGAAACCCTAGTAGAGCGCTCTTATTAATAGAAGCATGGATTTGTGAACTTTTATTTCGTCCGGCGTAAGGATGCAGAGGAATATCTGGTTGTATGCAAAATTGCGTCTATACCGAGGTGTATCGAGTTTTTTGAAAAACTCGGTACACCTCGGTATAGGCACAATTTTGCCTACAACCGGATGTTCCTCTGCATCCGGTCGGAGGACGTAATAATTCTTCTGGATTTGTTTTAGAATCCGATCATAAATTAATATCAAAGTATAGATATTCCCTATGAATAGAGAGGTAATAAATTAACTAATAACAAAAATTATCAACATAAAAAATCAGAAATGGGTATCTTCCAATGTGTTATTGGAGTCATAAAAAAACTTTGGCAAAATATGCATGATCATAGTTTAAACAATTCTCCGTTTCTCTTTCCCTATAATCTACTTTTGAGCATACTTGTAGTGATCTAAAATTTACAACAAATTCATATTGGCCCCTTCGCATCCATTCCAATGCCCAAATTCAATTGCACATATTGTTATCCAATTTAAAAGAGTTTAACGAAAAGATTTAAAATCTAAATCATGATTAAATTTTATCTTATAGCCATCCAAAATAACAATTTTTAACAAAAATTTTAAAAATATTTTGTCCCAAAAATAAAATATAATTTATTATTATCTTAAAACTCACCTATTAGCATTTTATGTTCATTTTTAACAAAATTATTTAGTTATATACAATAACAATAATAGCAATCATTTATCCCACTACGTGGGATCAACTACATGAGTATTTATTTTTTCTTATATATTTTTTTAGAGTTGAATTATCATTTAAATCTACTTACAAAGATGACATTTCTAATACTTTCTAATCAAATCTTTTTAAGTTTATCTCTACCTTTCTTGACATAAAAAAAAATCTAATGTATCCCTCACCTAACAAGGTCATCTTAAGGCTTAACAAAATTATTTAGTTAAAAACATAAATTTATCATGTGACTTCAACAATATATCATTATGGAAGCACGTAACAATAGTATTTCTTATGAAATTTTTGCCGCTACATATTTAGGCATATATCTCTACTTCCATGTAGCAGAAAAGTTTTATGTATCCAGCATTCCTAATCAAAATATGATGAACTTTATGTACATAAAATACTTAGTTCCCCTTCAATGATAAAGATCAAAAAACTAGCGGTAAAACCATTTTCCATGCATACATAAATAGATAAAAGAACCGCATTAGAATATAAACTCTGCAGGTTTTCATGTTTTTTTAGCAATGAATTGTCCAGTAATCATTCATGCTGACGCGCTGCATAAAAATTAAACAAAAAATTGATGTTTAACTTTATCCAATGACCTTAAAAAGTGGAAATAATTTTTATAGAGGTATCAAGAATTAATTCACGTAATGCAAAAATAGCCCATTCAAAGTAAAAATATAAATTTTAACGGCCTTAATGAAACATATTTACTGGTTTATCAAAGAGAATAAGGGAGGCTTAAATATATTTCTTACATCCTCAGCAATTTGCAAAATCCCATTCTCATCCTGCAGGTACAAATGTACACTAAATTAAAGGATGCTCAGAGAAAGCAAGTGAAAAACTTGAGCAAGTAGAAATTCAATTGATTTTTCCAAAGAGAAATTCTAGAAGAAAGCAGTTTTTGCATGAGAGAAAAAAGAAAAGGAAGATCATTAATAAGTCAAAATACAATCTGAAATGTGCAGAAAAACAATACCTTTATGGCAACAAAAAGTAATGGCTCGGAAGGCGTATATATCATATAATGTGTCCCGTCCTGCAAAATCAGTACATAACGTCATCTATCACGGTTAACTTTCCAACAGATAAAGCCCAGCAGCATTGCACTTATTACCCTGGATAACTCAGAAACAGAGTTTAAAATATAACAGCTACATCTAAACAATATACTTGGTGCGCTAAAAGATAAAGCCCTGAAACTTTGGACTTATTACCTAGGATAACTCAGAAACAAAGTTTAAAATGGAGCAGTTACATTGTGGGCTCCGAAAATTTGGACCTGGCCTCCCCCAATGCTTTTCGGGGGAGTTTTAACGGATTAAGTTCCGGGATAAATTTTAGAAGGCAGATGAGTTTGTAGATAAAATACTACCCATAGACTTCGCCATCATTTTTCGACAACTTTATGATCTAGGTTATGGTTTCCTATAGGGGCAAGCCCCTATAGTTAATTACCCCACCCGATAGCGAGAGAGAACTTTTGATTAAGGCTAGTTGTCAATCAGATACGTAGAAAATACGTGTTACCTGGCATATAATAGCGGTGTGGGCATTTAGAATATGAAGAGTTTGATATTTAAAATTTGAAATTTCACCATCTTGAACTTATCGACAGAATTCAAGTTGGTTGGTTGAAGTGGATGAATGCATCGGGCTTGTTGTGCGATAGAAAAGTCCCCCTCAAACTTAAGGAAAAATTGATGTAAAACGATCATGCAAAGTTGAATTACTTGAAGAGTTTGCACGCTTAAGTGTTAGAAGCCATAATAATCATATCTTCACAATGAATTTTCTAACAACAAAAGAAAACATTAAGCGCAATAAAATAAGCTTAGGCTGAATCACACGCATAAGAGTTAGGATCAGAAAACAATCAAGTTAATCTAACATTGCATACATGAATGGTTCAACGTCAATCCCTAAATTAACAATGAGATTAGGCACTATGCACGAGTCCCTCACTCAACTCTCTAGTTATCTAAGCTTTAGCGGTGAAGAATTAGCATGATCTTTTGTGAATCAACACATAACCACAAGTGATAAGTGAACTAGGAAGATAAAAGAGTTTGGTGGAAGAGTTTACCTACATGAAACAGAAGACACGAAGCTTTGGTGTCGACGATGGCTGTTTCTGCAGTGGGATAGCAATCGGAATCCTTTCACAAGCCTGAACAGCTCCTAGGAGGGATTGGGAGTCATCGGCCAGCAGGGCGTGGACTCCAGGAGGGCTGGACAGCAGTTGGGCTGGTTGGACAGCAATGGAAAAGTGCAGAACTTCCCTGGACAGTGATCCCGGCAACTTGGACAACAATTTTCCCAATCTCTGGAGTTCTCGACAGCAGTGCTGAGAATGGAAAAGTTCTAGACAGAATATAGAATCCGTCCAGAAATCTGGACAGTAAATAATACAGCTTAAAGAAGCCTTGGACAACTGCTATAGGGTGTAAGGAGCTTCAAGACAGCAAATCGTGACTCCCAAGGGTGCTGGACAGCAAGACGTTTTACTGGAATTTCATGGACAGCTTGCAGGAATCTCTAGGGAGAGAGAAATCAGAGAGAAGAAGGGCTGGGAGAGGGCGGCTAGGGCTGAGGTGGATTAGGGAATTGATTGGAGGATTAATTTGGCTCAATTTGAATTTGAATAGGGGCTTAATTTGGGGCATTAATAAGGGAGTAATAATGGATAGAATTAATGAGATAGGAGAGAGAGGGAGGGATTTGGGGAGAGGATTTGTAACTTCCAAAACAATTTATGTCATTTAGGAAAGATAATGACAACTCAAATCTAATTTGAAATTCAAATAGACTTGGAGTTATGCACTTTCTTAATTTAGATTTGTAAATAAGGAAAGTTTTTTAAATTTGAAATTCAAATTTTAAATTGAGGAAAGGGACTAATAAATCTAATTTGATTTATTTTGAAATTGAATTCATGATTGATACTTTCCTAATTTGGGATTCCCTATATGGAAAGAATTTGAAATTCGAATTTGAATTTTAAATGAATTCAAATTTCCCCTCTCATTCTTGAGCTAAATTAGGAAGTCATTATGATGATTGAAATCATCATAATGAGGGGGGAATTATGAGGGGGGCGGCGGCAAAGGGGAAAGGGGAAAGGGGGCAGCTAGGTGGCGGGTTGTGGTTAGGTAGGTGGGTGGGATTTAGGCGGTGGAGCTAGAAGATAAATTGGGTGGAGGAGGGAATTCGATGCAAGAAGAAAATAAAAGAACAAGAAAGATAAGAGAATCACGAACCTTGGAATCCACCAAGATTGACGGGTATTGCTTTTGCCCCACTTGGGCCTCTCCTCTCAAGAACTCACTAAGAGATCATCCCAAGAGAGAAAACTTAGAACTCACAAAGAGATCCATAAGCACAAGCTGAAAATTTCATAATCATCATCCCTTTCCAAGAGGAAGGGGAAGACTTAAATAACCAAATATATGAAGAAAAATAAAAGACACAATTGCCCCTAGGGCAAACATAAGACAAAGCCCTCAAGTGAGGGTAGAAAGGGAAAAGTACAAATAACAAATTAAATACATCAAAATGAATAGAAACGATCGTAGCCGTTGATCTTCGATGTCCTCATCAAAAATTCTATAAGATGGTGGTGAGACCTGCAATGTTTTATGATGTCGAATGTTGGCCATTAAAAGAGAATCATAATACTAAGTTAAGCATTGCAGAGATGAGGATGTTTAAATGGATGAGTGGCTTTACCCTTAGAGATAGGATACGAAATGAGCATATACGTGAAAAGGTTAGAGTAGCTCTAGTGGAAGATAAGATTAGAGAGAGTCACCTTAGATGGTTTGGTCACATTAAGCGGAGGCCTTCTGATGACCCGGTTAGGAAAGTTGAGGTATTAGATTTGACTTATATTAAAAAAGGTAGAGATAAACCTAAAAAGACTTCGTTAGAAAATATTAGAAAAGATCTTTCTTTATTAGATTTAAATGATAATTTGACTTTTAATAGGGCACAATGACAAAAAATGATTTATGTAGCTAACCCCACGTAGTAGGACAAAGGCTTGATGTCGTTGTTATTGTTGTTGTACCATCTTGAACTTAAAGCGGATGGTGGGGGAATGGATGATGGAATGATCAAGATCTCATGGTTCCGTCGTCCCAGACCATCATGGTCCCTGGTCTACTTAGTCAGAGGAGGTAGTTAACCCAACCTAACAGAAGAATCCTTGTCAGCAGCCATGGGTTGTTTCGTCCAAAGGTACCTTGTAGACCTAGGAGGAGTATTTGTCTAAGGGAAAAAACTTGAATGAACTTTAGCTGACAAAAGGCTTTATGCCTTATCGATTATATCCTATTGATTCATCTCAAGGATTTGATGCAATTGGGGAGCATATGGGCTCTGGCCATAACCATAATTTAGTGGTTCCATTTAGATAACGACCCAGTTCAGAGGGCCCGGTCATAACTGTTTACCTGTGGTGCTATTTGGTGGCAAAACCACCGGTTAGAGCCATGGTTTAAAATTGCGCAATATGAGGCTCGCCTGGAGGCCCTCCTTTACGCAATTCCAGTAAAAAACACCTCGATGCTTATGCCTCGAATTTTTTTTATGAGGCTTGCGCCTCAACTTGGTTGAGGCCCGCATCGCCTCACTGGCATGAGGCTTACGCCTCACGCTATATATATTAAAACTTACATAAATCTTGAAGTAAATGTCCGACATTGGACCCTATAGGAGAGGAGGAAGGGGAAAGAGCAGTTCATCATAAAGATGATTAAAATGAAGAACCCCTTAGTGATGACAGTGCTGATGACTTATGAGTTCTTATTTGATAATCATTGCTATTTATTTTTGAAAATTGGAATTATATATTAATGAAAAAGAATACTGGGATTTAGGAAAGATAGAATTTTGAGTTGAACTATATTTCATGTTTTCTTATTATTGGGATATTTTGATTTCACTTCAAATCTTATGCTTTTTTATGTTTTATATTATTCACTCATTAGTATATAAAAAATTTATCATTTTATGTTTACGTAATCTTTTAATTTTAAGGCTTACGCCTCAAAACGTCTTGAGGCTTACGCCTCGCCCACAAATGAAAAACGCCTTGATACCCGAATACGCAATTTTAAACATTGGTTAGAGGACACGTGCCACATCTTTACTGGTAAAAGATTGCTTGAGAATAAATCCTAGTGATATTCTCGACCAGACATTAACTCTTTGTGAGTTGAAGTTATTTTCAAATTGTCCACCTAAGCAAATTATTGCGAAGGGTGGATGTCGTTTTAAGTTATGTGATGTCTGATTTCAGTTTTAAATATTTTGGGCTTTGGTAGTTTTTAGAGTTTTGGGTTTTGAGCTTTGGTAATGTTTAGAATTTTAATTTTTATGGGACTCTAAATGGCATTTTAAATATTTGGAATTAACCCCTCTGGTTGAGATGTACGTTCAACACGGCCATCATCGGGGTTTATATGTGGTCATTTGCATTCATGGATTGAACCTTGTCGACTCTTTCTACTTGCCAACAGAGGATCGGGTTTCTCGTAGGCTTTATGCCTCTATGAATAAATTTTCTTAATTAACAGCCTTGAATGCCTTATGTAAATGTATAAAATAAATATCCCGATCAATACCGCGACTATATATTTATTCGATAGTTTGAGTCATGTCGACCCTTATATGCCCGCATATATATATATATATATATATATAATAATTAGTAATATATTAAATACATTATACACTAAATATATTAATTATAAGATCAAAACTAATAACTAAAATATAATTAAAAAAATGAAGCATATACTTAGGATCGGGTGGCTTGCAGACTTGAGGAAGAGGAAGACCATGATGCGGACATCGGCACGAAGATCTGGCGCATCTATCACAGGAGGCGTCGTAAATCGACGACTCTAATTTAAATTGTTATGAATTTTAGCTATTTTTTTATGTTTTAGGTTAGTTTATTTGAGTGTTATGGCCCAAGGGGCAATTTTGTAATTTTCTATTTTCTCATGTTATGGCCTATAATGGATGGTTGAT